TTCAAATCCAGCCCAGGCCCGCCAAACAACAATACCACTCCTGACAATAATGGCTGCAACCAAAAAATAGCCAGGCGTTGTGGCAGGCGCCTGTGGTCCCAGTTACTTGGGAGGCTGAGGCAGGAGACTCACTTGAGCCCAGGAATTGGAGCTTGCTGTGACCTGTGATGCTACAGCACTCTACCCAGGGAGACAGCTTGAGGCTCTGTCTCCAAAAAAAAAAAAAAATTCTATTTTGAGATACCTACAATAACTATAACATGATCTAAAAAATGTGTATGACTTCTATTAGAGACAGAGTCATGGACGTTGCTAACACTACTGTGGTTTATCACTTAATTTCATGATTCATGAAAATGCTGGATTTCAGTTAGGGGTTAATGAAAACAGAAAGTCTGTGAACTTGGACTTTCTGAATTCTATCCACAACCCCAGATCAGGAGCATGTTCTGTCTGACTCAGCTTCTTGGGAGCTGAACCTTTGACCTCAGTCCTCCTGAGACTGGCTTTAATAGGCCCGTGGCTTTGAAAGGCCAACATTCAAATTGATCTTTTTTACTTAAACCAGCTAATCACTGCCAGTGACCCAGACACCATCGAGGCCTCAAACTTCCAACTGGAGCGCAAGACACGCTTCATCATCCATGGCTTCATAGACAAGGGGGAGGAGAGCTGGCTGTCAGACATGTGCAAGGTGGGAGCCCCCTCCTCACCTGGCCACTCAATGGCCATCCCAACACAGCACCCCAATTCCCCCTGAGACCACAAAAGGAAATATTCCAGGGAGAAATGAGTCCATCCTAAAGCCGCCAAGGAAACCTGGTTCTCAGGAGCATCCATGGCTAAATTCTCCCTACCTACCAATTCCTAGCCTACCAGCCTGTCTGAAGCTGGAGAGACCCAGAATCCAGTCAGGAAGTCTCCCCCAGATGGAGACTACAGCAAACTTCCTGGCATTTATCCCTGGCATGACATGAAAAAAGCACTTAAATGTTGCCCTCTAAAGCACAACTTATCTGTTAGAACAGTGGTGCTATTCTGCATGATGACAATGTCCTCTATCTGCACTGCCCAAGTCAGGCACCACTAGCTGCATATGGTGCCACTTAGGAGCTGAATTTGACACTTTATTGGGCAGTTTGCTCACCTGGATCTTTTACCTATTTTGTTTAACTTGGCTGTGTCGGTAATCATGTCTAAGATCTTAGCCAAGTCATTGGACCCCTCCCCGGTCTCAGTGTCCGGTTTGCATGCGAGTTAAGCAGGTATTAGCAAGGCAAGTTCACAGTGTCGCAGGAGGATAAAGTTATGAAGGCGGGAAGGAATATTAAAGCTCTGACCCAAGCTACTTGCTTGATGGATGAGAGTTTCCATTTCTGTTTATAAGTGGGTTTCTGCCCCTTGTTTGTCTTCCCTAGAAAATGTTTCAAGTGGAGAAGGTGAACTGCATCTGTGTGGACTGGAGGCGCGGGGCCCGGACAGAATACACCCAGGCTGTGCACAACATTCGGGTTGTGGGGGCCGAGATCGCTTACTTAATACAAGTGCTGTCGGTAAAAGCCCCCCTGGACCCGCCTGATGAGCGGGGGAGGGGGGGCGTGGGGGGGCAAGGACGCCCCATTTGCAGCCAGATACCGCCCTGGACGGGTGGGCGGGGAGGAGCTGGCAGCAAACAGCCCAAGTTCTAACCCAGAAAGCTTGCAAAGATGAAGCTGCGACCTTCTTCCCTTGCCTGAGGTCCTGAAGACTCCACGCCTCATTATTCCCTAGCGGCCCACCAGCCTCAATTTCTCCTTTAAAAGAAAGGCTGTCCTTGCAGGCTGTAGTATTTATTAGAGCACAGGCAGGGCTGCCGGCCGGGAAGATGAGTTGTCATCGAGGGAGACCCTTCCCATGGTCTGTCCTGGGTAGGGTGACCAGACGTCCCGCTTTTAACAATTTGTCCTGTGTCCCGCAGTGTTCTAAAAAAGTCCCGATTTTTGGAAAGAATGCACGAACGGGCAGGAGAACAGGAAGGGAATATACGGTTTTCGGCTCCGTGTGGCTATTTTGCCAGAATATGAGTTTTATATTATTTTTGTTAATTTTATAATGTTAAACTGTAATAATAACAAATAATTGTTGAGAAGTAATTATGGAGAATTGCTTATCAAAGTTTGGGTTGCTGTCAGGCCCTGCCCTGTCCCGTCCCCCGCCCTGCCCCCGCCCCGCCCCCCAGCCATGTTGTCCCGCTTTACAAATGTTAAAATCTGGTCACCCTAGTCCTGGGGAGCTCACGCAGGACCACCACCCACGTTCCTCCAGACAGGCCCCAGCCCTGCTAGGGAAGCGGCGGCGGGTGGCGGGTGGCGACCTGCAGTTGGCGCGGCGGCCGCTGGTCAGCACTGTTGCCGCGCGCACGAGCCCGCCTGTGGGACTCATGTCCTCAGCCGGCGGTCGCCCCTCCTGAGTTTCAACCTCGGGTCTTGCCCATCTCTGGCAAGGGCCGCCCCACCGCCCTGACCCGCGGGTCCCCACACTGTACGGTGGGACCTGACGGGCCGTCCCCTCCGCAGGCCCAGCTGGGGTACAGCCCCGAGGACGTGCACCTCATCGGCCACAGCCTGGGCGCGCACGCAGCCGCGGAGGCAGGCAGAAGGCTGGGGGGCCACGTGGGCAGGATCACAGGTAGGGGTGCGAGGCCGGGCCAGGGTCCCCAGACCCGGAGTGCGCGCGGCTGCAGCCCATGCGCTTTCCGCGCCAAAGGGCGCCCCTACTGGTCCTCTAGGAGAGGATGTTAGCTGATGCTGGACTTCAATTTAAAATCAATTAATGAATATTAGAAAACAGATGGTTATAAATAAAAATACATTTTTTTTAAAAAGAACTATTTAACCAGCACATTAAATCCATACCTTCAGGGCTATCATTGCTAGGCAAAAAATTTTAAAAGTGAAATGATGAAATTCATCAGTTCACAAAATTTGTTGAATGTCTTTGCTGGGCCAGGCAAAGGCAGAAAATGCAAGTGGCTCGCTGAGACCTTCCACATAGAAGTGCTCGGTAAATAACGAATGGACGAGTCACTAGGCAGAATGAATTCATCCAAGACAAAGACAGAACTATTTATTTTGCACAGCCAAATCAGTATGTAACCTCAGCAAACAGTTGGCTCCAACATCCTTTTGCTCAAGGCACTGGGTGAAGGGTAATATTTCACGTTTATGTAGAACTTCGCAGTTTGCCAAGCTCTTTCTTTTAGATCTTTTCATGGGGTTTTCACAGTGACTCTGTAAGGCTGGGCGTTGTCATTATTCCTACTTTCCAGATAAGCTCAGAAAGGACAGATGTTTGGCCTGGAGCAGAACCAGGGCAAGAATACAGATCAGTGGGTGGCCCTGTCTTCCTGGGCGCAGATGACCCAGGCACAACACCTCTTCAGGAAACCCATGGTCTAGTCCAGAAGGCAGATGACTGAGTAGGCAAATAAAATCCACAACAGAATAAACAATACAAAATAATGCAATGTGGATGGAATGGGCTGAGAAAGGAAAGGGTTTAGATTTGCCATTTAACCATGTAAATGTGGTGTTTGCGCTGGGTCTGGAAAGAGAAAGATTATTATAAATAAAGGAAGACTGTGGGGAAGGGCACAGCAGGCTGGGGAACAGTATGAACCAAGATGCAAAGGATTAGAAGTATGTGGGGCTCAGGCTCCAGCTCTGGGAGTGTGCTGTCTCTCAGGGCAATGGCCATGATAACATGTCCAACAGAAAGGAAAAGAGAAACAGGGGTGGGAGGCAAGAGTTCTCCCCCAGTTCTCCATAAGCCAGGCACTAGGGATTTCCAAATGCTCTTTAGCAGTCAGTGTCCCCACTCCTGACCTTTCTGTCCCAGGCTCGCTCTCCCGAGTAGACCAGGAGCAGCAGACCCAATGCCCTGCCTGCACTACAGCCACTGGAGTATAGGGCCCTTTGCCAGGAATCCTCATGTTCCATCTGTGGGCATGGGGTTTAAACCTTGGTTTTTCTTAGAGTGCATCTTGTCCCTGCCTCCTTTTCAGGGCTGGATCCGGCAGAACCATGCTTCCAGGGCACGCCTGAGGAGGTTCGGCTGGACCCATCCGATGCCATGTTTGTGGATGTGATTCACACAGATTCTGCTCCCATAATCCCTTACCTAGGTGAGTTCCTCAATCCCATCTCCTGATGACCAGGGCTAGAATTGATGACACTGGGTCCAGGTCCCGCTCCTCACTCATATGCACAAACTGCATAGGGAGGGGCATTCAAATGCTTAACTACAGGAAGGGGTTGGGCACCAACCCTTCAAAATGAGGACCGGTCTCACACAAAAAGCTAATACAGTGCCAGTGGTATCAGCCTGCGCTCCAGATTAGACACAAAACACTGCTATGGTATGGAAGGTTGTCATTCAATCCTTAACCCTGGAGCCTTCCCCAGCCTACCAGAAACTAAAGGGGCAGATGTAGAATTCTTGATACCTCACCAGTTCTTGTAAAATACAAGGTGAACTTTGGCATTTTTTTCCTTCTTTGTCAAAGCTAGGTTACAGTTTGTTTTGTTAGAGACTAAATCTCTCTTCATTTAAATCTTCTAAAATCAGTGCCCTTTTTCCAGTATTTTCTTATGTAACCATTCATGAACTTACCAATAAAGGGTATGTTTGATGATGATGATGATGATGTTTTATACTTACTGAGTGTTTGCCATTTTGCACACATTTGCTCATTAATCCTGTAACACTCTGAAAAGTGTGTACTATTGCCACTGCTTCATAGCTGAGGAACTATGGCTCAGTCAGTGAGGTTAAGTAATTACCCGAGATCACAAAGTGTGTAGGCAGAACCCGGATTTGATCACAGACTGGTGGGCCTCAAAAGCCAAAGCTGCTAACCATTATGCTATGGCTTTTAGTATAACAATGTAATGTAGAAGTCAGAATTTTAAAATGAGTGAAATCATAAAAATAGCACTACTTCTGGTATGATGCATAATGGTATCAGAGCATATCAGACCGACACACGTACTAATGTGTATGTCCACGCCCGCCCCGAGTCCAGCTTCCACATCTCCCTCCCTCTGTTCTCTCTCCTTCCTCATCTTGCCAAGTCTCTGGGAACTTTCTGCAGAGCCAGAGGCAGGTATGGCTGCACAGAGGGGATACTCTGACAAGAAGTTTCTCACTCTGATTGAAACAAGTTGAGCAGCTTGCAGTGGCCACAATCCAACCTGGGACCACTTAACTTCTTACTCACCTCTGCTTCAAATATTTCAGGTTTTGGAATGAGCCAAAAGGTGGGCCACCTGGATTTCTTTCCAAATGGAGGAAAGGAAATGCCTGGATGTCAGAAAAATATCCTTTCAACCATCGTTGACATAAGCGGAATATGGGAAGGTATGTAAATTCAAGAAGACAGCAATTGCCCTAATTGGGGAGAAAGCAAAACGTGTGGTCTGGCCTTCCTCAGACTGAATTTGCCAGCACTTCTGGAGGCTTATTCTGGCCCTGTCTATGTTAGCTGCCCCTTGTTCTGGCCTCTGGCTATTTCTGTTGCCCTCTCTCTGGAGACCAGGCATCACTCTCCTCCCTAAAAGGGGAGACTTTGGGCTCTGATTATCTTATTTGTCTTCATCTTTTGAGCTGAGAATTTTATGAAGCAATGGACTATGCCTTGGGCATTTTCACAACAATCAGAAAAGTGGCACAGCTTGTCCAAGGCCACCCTATATTGAAGCCTAGTGTCTGCCTATAAAGCCTTTATCCTGTACCCTAGCCTGTGCCATCTCCCCGAGTGGTCAGGATGCTGGGATGATGACTGGATGGGCACACTGGCAGAGACTCGCTGCCACTCTGCCTTTAGCAGCTGCTCCTGGAGGAATCACAGGGCACAAGCACAGGTTCAGAGGGCTTTGACTTTCTCACTGGTTGCTTTGTGAGGTGCTAGGAATGGCAGGGGCCTGAGCTGGTAAAAAGAGCACAAAGAAGGGATTGGGGTGCACATGGGATGGGGATGCCTGGAGGTCTGGGGACCCACAGTAGCTGCTATGTGTTTCTGTTCATCTGAGTGAGCAGGATCCATGCCCCTAGCATTAGGCAGCCTTGAAGCACCATGTATATCATCTGCCCCTTGTTCTGGCCTTTGGGTATCTCTGTTGCTCCTTCCCTGGAGACCAGTCTTCAATCTCCTCCTTTAAAGGGGAGAATCTGGGTCCTGATCATTTTACTTATCTTTATTTTTCTGAGCTGAGCATTTCCAGAGGCCAAGGAGTGTGCCTTGGGCCTTCCAGACACCCCAGTACTCTGCTCGGGGCCCCACCCTGAGGCAGTCACTACATCCTGTCTTAAATTGAGCTCAGTGACCTTGTGTGGCATTTTAATATTCCACGCTCTTGATGCCAAAGAGCAGTGTTGACAGCGACAGCCAGCTTCCACCGGCAAATCAACGCAGCTCTGTACCAGGCAGCTTCTGGGAAGACATGGCTGCTCCCTGCTCCCTGAAAGAACACCAGAGTCACAATAATAGCTGCCCCCTCCCACCAATGACAGGCAAGGCGCACATAATAGGAAGGAGCCTCGGTTTAATTAGAGAGGCAATTTAGAGTGAAGAAGCCCATCAACACTGGAGTGTGTTCTATTGTGTCGCATGCTGAGTCACCCAGGTGCTGGGCACTGAGGAACAATTAAATCCACTTTCTCCTCCATTATGAGGTCCCTGGGCAGCAATTTGGGATGAAGGAAACAATTAAGTTTGAAACAGGTTCTGTTGTCTGGTGCTAAGCACCAGCATGGGGCTCACAGACAGGGCTGGGGCGGGAAGCTGCTGGGAACTGCGGATGGCGGGTCCACCCACTCAACGTGGGTGCTCCTGCCTCAGTGGGCAGGAAAGGAAGCCCACCTGACCCCCAAGACTGGTCCCCAGCTGTGTCCAGGGTCACTGTGAACTACTGCATGGGAAGTTTGTACCAAGTAGCCACAATGAAAAGAAAAATTCCAAGCAAGAGGACTTTAGTTGAAAGGAAAGGGGGTGAATAAAACGCAGTGAAGGACTGGCAGAGGCCACAGCGAGCGGCCTGGCTGGCCACTCCTTGTGCCTTGTGCCCAGCAGAGAACAGAGGAAGGATTTCTCAGCCTGAGGCCGCAGGTCCAGAAGAGGCTGGTTCATGGGAAAGGTCCATCCTTGAGGTCCAGGGTCCTCACACATGGGTAGGATGTGATCTACACGGGGCTGGGTGGGCCTGCAGAACCTAACAACTGCTTTGAAAAATGGGGGTACACTGCTACTGTTGAGCATGGGAAGATTTTCGTGTAAAAGTTGAGATTCTCACTTCTCATGAAAAATCAGAAGACCAAGTAATTTGGGCCTCAGTGCAACAACTGGCTGGGCTGTGTAGGGTCCCCTTTAAAAGCTGTTATTCTCTGTTAGTCTCACTATTTCTGTCTCTCTTTCTTTCTTTCTTTCTATATATATTCTCTCTCTTTCTCTCTCTCTCTCTCTTTTCCCCTCTCTGTCTGAATCTATCTCCTCTATTTTTTTCTCACTGCCTCTCTGTTTCTCTCTGACTCTCTGATTCTCTCTGTCTCCCTCACCCTGACTGAGGGCCCCAGGCCTCCTCATTCATTCACTGTCAGTGTGTGGCCCCTACAGGAGCGGATCAATGTGCTGGGTAGAACTTCTCTCTCCTTGACAGTTGCCTGGCTCTGACGAGGTCCTGCTTGGCCAATGCCTCTGAGTGTTCAGGAGCGCTGACACCCATCTCTGAAAGGTGGAGGTGACTCCTCACTGCGTCAGAATGGTCTACACTGCAAAGGTGAAAGGCCTCCTTTGAACTCCCACAGCCTTTGCCTTTCAGGAACCCGCGACTTTGTAGCTTGCAATCACCTGAGAAGCTACAAGTATTACGCCAGCAGCATCCTCAGCCCCGATGGCTTTCTGGGATACCCCTGTGCCTCCTACAATGAGTTTCAGGAGGTAGGTCACCCTGAAGAGCCCAGGGAAGATGTTGGTGGCCCTGTTGGTGTTTTTGTACCTTTGACTTAGAACAGAACATACAGGTGTAAGTCTGTAACTAATTACAGAAGATAATTCAACTTCTGGGCTTCCCAAAATCTTCTTCCAATAGCAGGGTGGATAGGAAGGGAAAAACACAGACTGACTATGCCAGGCCCTGCATAGGGTCCCAGCTTTTCATTTAGAAAAATTTCCAATCTGCACACAAGTTGAAAGAAGGGCCCAAAGAATACCTGTATTCCCATCACCTAGATGCACCAATTGCTAATATTTTATACATGTGCATAAATGTATACTTTTTTCTAAATTATGGAAAGTTAAAGACATCGTGACAACTCATAAGTGAGTCAGTACTCGTTGTCCTATAGAATAATGTTCAAGAAATTTAACTTTGATACGCTTATATTTTCTAATATGCAGTCTACATTCAAACTTCTCCAATTACCCAGACGATGTCCTCTAGAGCTGTGTGTCTGTACCCCTCCTTTCCTTCCCTTCTTTTTCTTGCATTGCATTTATTGTCTCTGTAGTCTCCTTTAACCTAGGACAGTTTCCCATTTTTCTTAGTCTTCCAGGACTTTGGCTGTTATAAGGATTCCAGACTGGGTATTTGGTAGAACATCCCACATTCTGAAATTATTCGAATGTTTCTTTTTGCTTTAATGGGTGATATCAGGACCTTCTTAGTGTATCACAACCAAGGTCATTCTTTTGATTGTACTTTGTCCATTATTTGATGACATAAATTACTTGGGTGAGGTGCTGTCTGCCAGAAAACTATTTCCCATATGTAAGTAATCTATATATTAGATGATATTGTTCCCCAATCACAAACCTAGTGAAAGGTTTGAGTTTCTGTTGGGGATCCTTACCTGAATCATTACATTGCAAGCAGGGGTTGCAAAACTTTGTTATTTTAAAATATTTTTTCTCAAAGATAAAAATAAAAATAAACACATTTTGTCTTGCTACACTAATTTTGACCTTGACATTCCTGGTTGAACTAAAGTCCAAAGATCTAAGCTCTGTGTGTGTTCAGGGAGTAGCCATGGCTGTGCTCATTATTGCTGGGGCATGGACAATAACCTGGTCTCAGTACCTGCCTTCTGCTTTCCAAATCACAAAATAGCTCTGCACATCATGCATTTTAGAAGTGGTGTGAGGTCAAAAAACAAAGGGCAGTGACACTGTGGCATAAAGGGATCATATCCCTAATTTGAAGAAAGCAAACTGCCCCCTCTACACCCAATTAATGACCTTTCATTTCAGATGGGTATTTCCTAGTCTTGAGAAATAATTCACCTTGAAGTGAAAATGGTTATGGATCTTCTCTTCCTCTTTTCTTTTGAAGTAACTTGTTATCTGTCCTATTTACTTCTCACTGGAGACATAGTCTTGCATTCTTCTTTCATATTTTAATTTTACTACTTCCTGGATATGAATTGTCTCCCTCACTAGACTCTTTTTTTTTTTATTATTATTATTAAATGATAGCTCTATACATTAATGCAAACAGGGAGTACAGTGTAGTGTTTTCACATACATTTTGAAACACTTTCATCAAGCTGGTTCACATAGATTTCATGTAATTTGCATAGTCATTGTGTCAAAACGTTTACATTCTATTTCTAGAAAAGTTCACTT